TTCAATATACATCAAACAATTTATAATATTGTTCCACTTTTACCTTTTTATAGAAAATTCCAATTCCTGGTACTACTCCTCTAGAAAACATTGCCTTAGATGCTGATGAGATCCTGAAATCCAACCATCCTCCAAGAAAATCGCCACCACAATAACTCCTGAAATCCAACCATCCTTCAACAAACTCGCCACCACAACCACAAACATCTAAAGATCCAGACGGGGAGGGAAACTAATTAGAGAAAGTAGTTGAAAATCTAGGTCTCAGACAACAATCGACTGGTCCAAATGAAAATTCTCAACCAAATGACCAAGAAAATGTTGACCACATACGGGAGTAAGATCAGATGGAAACTCAAGATGCTATTAACAAAAAAGAACAGCCACAAGTTGTTCAAAATTTACAAATTTCACCAGCAACCACTAAGGTTCCTTTTTCGACTACGACTACTATTGCTCATTCTCAGGCTGGATATTCTTCATCCAAAACCTCTAGTACTTTTCTTAGTCGTGAAGAAATAAAAACCATAAAGAAAAAATATCATGTGGAGGCTTTAAGAAGTCTTATGAGCAATCAAAGTATTGTCTCCATTGGAAAATAGCCAAGCTCCTCAATTGTGACAAGCAGTGGGATTTTTGGCGACTCCCTCACTCTACTGGTTCAACAATTAAAAGCAAAGGTCTTCAAAGAAAATTTATTCAAAACCATCGAAGAAGATCATTATGTTGTGTTTGACATTAAGAATTCATTAAAGCAACTTAGTGGTCAGAATTTTCCTAATCCTACTGTTCATTTCATACCAGAGTTTGAATCATTTCTCGACCAACTCACCCAGAACATAAAAATGAAGAATGAGTATATGAGCAAGCTTAGGAAAAATAATGACATTATGTCCTAACAATGGGGCCTAATTGCTCAGTCTCAAAGTTGAGTTCATGAGTTGGAGGCACAAGCTAAAATAGATGAAGATCAAGTAGCGACCTACAATGAACAAATTGCAAACTTGACGAAACTGGTTGAGGAATTTCAAAAAAAAAGGATGCAATCAAAAATTTTAAAATAGCTTATCTTAAAGAAAAGTTAGTTCAATAAGGAGATATTGGTCTTTAGTATGCGGATGCCGCTTATATATTGGAAGAATAAATACAAACCTTACAAGTTGAGGACTCAATGAATTATACATTAATCCAGCTTGCAAAAAAGCACTTTGAATGGATCGAGGTTGAACTTCCCTTATAAATTTTTGACTTCTTGTTCCCTGTTGTATTAACAGTGTCATGACAATTTTCTATTTTGGCACTTTAATTTTAATTCCAATTTAGCATTTTCATTCCTTATGCATTATTCCTCTATTATCTGAATATCTTGCAACATAGATTTATACTTCTTTAAGCACTTGCAATTTATTCTTAGAGTTCGATCTTCAGGATCCAACTTTTTAAATTTATAGGTATTATTCAAAAACACTTGACTTATTCGAAATGGGTCTTCTCAATTTGGATATCACTTACCTAAAATTCTATCTTTTTTATCCATAGGAAAAATAACTTTCCACACGTAATCACAAAAAGTAAAGGCTTTTAACTTAACCTTTTATTATAGGCCTTAGTTATTTTTTCCTTTTGTCTATAACAAGGTTTAGAGAAGTTAATCTTTCCTCGTCTAAATCAACAATTCATTTAACATCATATTTCAATAATGGTCATAAGAATTTCAACTTGCCTTTAAATTCTAGTTGACTGTAAATAAATTTCAACAGGCAAAACTGCATCATGACCAAATGTTAATCAAAATGGAGTAGAATTAGTTGTCTCTTTAGAAGAATTTCGAGAAGCCCATAATAATTGGTCTAAATTTTTATGCCAATTTCTTGGCTTTTGACCAACCTGTTTTTTAATTAGGTCAATTATAGTTTTGTTAGTTGCTTCGACTTGGCCATTCATTTGAGCATAATAAAGAGTTGATGTTAAAAGTTTGATTCCTGGATTTGAAGTAAACTCGACCATTTTTCGACCAGTAAAATTTGTACCTTAATCATTGGTTAAAGTTTCAAGTATTCCAAACTTATAGATAATATGCTTTTAAATAAAATAATTATTGCTTCCTGATAAACATTAATCAAAGGAACAACTTCCACACACTTGGTAAAATAATCTATGTTAACCAAAATATACTTATGGCCTTTGAATTATGTAGGTCTAATTTCACCAATTAAATCTAAAGGTCAACCTCTAAATGTTCAAGACTTGACAATATAGTGTAACTCACTCGTAGGAACATGATGAGTAGCTGCATGCTTTTGACATTTCGCAAATTCCATACAATCTGAATACTTCTAGGCATTAAAATTAAACATATGTATACTAGTGACTTTCTTCTAAGTCAAACCAAATATATTCGAGATCTTCTAACCCAATCCAACAGGTGAAATGCAAAAGGTGTCACCAATCTTATGCTAAGAAACTGAAAAGTCAAGAAATATGAATCATTTACTTTTTCAGACCCTCACTTGTATTGATCCATGGCGGACCTTTATCAATATGTGACACTTACGAGGCTCAATATTGCTTTCAACTATAATAAATCATGTCAATTCATGGCCTCTCCATTGGAATCTCACTAGTTAGTTGTCAAAAGGATCCTACAATATCATAATGGCTCCATTAACCATGGTTTCTTGTTATCTCCAGCTCTATTATCTTGCAATTTCTCTCTAAGAGCCAATAGTGACTCGGATTGGGCAAGCAATCCAGATGATCCTAGATATACGTCTAGATCTTGCATCTTCTTTGGCCTAAATCTGGTGTTATAGAGCTCCAAGAAACAACCATTTGTCGCTAAATCAAACACGAAGGTTGAATATCGTGCCTTAGCGCACACAATGTCTGAATTACTCTGGTTGGAGTTCCTTCTGACTGAACTTGTAGTACCATTTCTTATTCCTCTCTTATGTGTGACAACCTTAGTGTAGTCATTTTATCACATAATCATATCTTTCATACCCGCATCAGGCACATTTAATTCGACATTAATTTTGTACCCGAAAGAGCTATCTTTAATAGCATGAAGATTCAACATGTCTCAAGGTTATTGTAGATTACTAATACACTGAGGAAACCTTTTGGCATGGATGTTTTCCATGACCTTCGCACCAAACTCAAAGTTGTGACGTTCATCCCTCCTTGAACTTGTGGAGGAGTATTTGGATAATAAATTATAGCCTAAGATATAAAGAATTGCATCATGAGTGTATGCGTAGTAAATTGATGCAAAACACTATGAATGTGCATGAGTACATATGAAATCTTATGTACTTATGCACTCCTATGTACTCATGCTAATTCATAGTGTTTTACATAGGAGAGCGTATATATTAGAAACAAATATTTTTCCACATTTATTTATAATCCATCCGATCAATTCAATTCAAACCAACTTGTGTTTTTCGATTTGTTTCAGTTTGGGTTTTATCGCAAAAATGTGCAAATCCAATCCAAAACAATTTATATATTTTTAATCGATTTATATATCAAATTCTCTCAAAATTGAATCAAATTGATGCGCGAATTCTCCCTAAATTTATTGTAAAAGTATTAGAACAAATTCAAATACTACATATAATAGTTATATAAATTCTTAGCCGTGGAGTTTTTTTTTTTTAATTGTTTTCAAAATAATTTGACTATTTATCATTGGGGTGACGACGTCAACAAAACATGGTAGAAAAAGTACCTTTTCAAATTGAAAGCTAAAATCAACCATTTTCTAATTATCAATTTTGACTACACTTTAAGAGTTCAATCAAACTTTAACACTCTCGTTTACAATATGTCTTTGCTATTAGCCTCAACTTTATTCATCTAATTTCTCATTTGTTTTTCTACATATAATTTCTTCATCTTGAATATTGGAAGTTTGGTTTTTTAACTAAATCATTTTTCAACTACCCCCAATTAGGAACAATCATGTTTGATGATGAAATCATAGTGCGTTTCACATTCAAGTCAAAATTTTCGATGTCACATCACGTGCTACAAATGCATTACAAATTTCTTTACATCTTTGATTCTCCACCATGATTACCGTTTGTAGCATCGTTGAAAAGATAAGAAACTAAACCAAACTTTTAACTTTTAAAAAAATAACAATTGGGACCCAATTTGATGTTTATAGTAAGGTTGTTGAAAAACAAATCTTAAACAAAGACAATTACTATAACAAGTCGAAACTATGCATGTTCTAACCCTAACAAATAACATTTACATAATAATTAAGATTTATTTTAACAATCTATGTATACTTATCTATTAGAAGTTTGACTTTATAATTTTTTTTATAAAAAATAGTTGTAAAATAATTATTAGTGTAACTATTATTATTATTTTTTTCAATTTCTAAAATAAAATAAAATTTTCTATCGCATATTTTTCTATCCTATCCGTGTGTTAAGGAATGATGACTCAGTTAATAAGATGTTGATTCACGTAGTGATTTCAGAATCCAACTCACTTAAATTTTTTTATAAAAACAAAAAAAATAACTTATATGTGTCGGCTTAAAATCGAATTGGTAGCACATAAGTATCTTCTACTTAAAAGTCACACCAAATTAGTTGTTCTATTATATTATTTTTTGATAAATTTCTATATTTTTAATTTGTCTTAGGAAAGCGAAATGCTACTTAGTATAGTGTTTTAAATTTAGGTACTTTGTCAAAAATTTGTCTGGTTTTCAAACTTTGCCTTATTTATTTGACCATGGAGCCAAAATCCACAACAACCCATACAATATACAACCATGTCATTGTCTTTCAACCACCACTTCACATGTAAATGGTGCAACTTTGGTTCTTTGTGAGCATTACCCGGAACATCATTTGATTATTAATGCATTGTTGTTGATTAACAACTTTGCTAGCTCTTTAGTGCTCCAAAGAAGTGAGAAACCAATTTCTCAAACTTTGGTTTCCACTTTGTGTGTATAGTTCAAACTTCTAATAATGGGAAATAGTTTAGGTGGGAAAAAGACCACAAAGGTGATGAAAATTGATGGTGAAACATTCAAACTAAAGACACCGGTAAAAGTCGGTGACGTGCTTAAGGATCACCCGGGTCTTGTCTTGTTAGAATCCGAGGAGGTGAAGCATTATGGAGTAAGAGCAAGGCCGTTGGAGTTACACAAGGAATTGAAGTCGAAGAGACTCTATTTTCTTGTGGAACTTCCAAAGGAAAGTATGGTTACGAGAAGGGTTCGTTCGGTGATTAATATGAGTGCTAAAGACAGACTTGAGAATCTGTCTTTAGCTCGAAGGTCAGCTTCGGACCTAACTATTATAAAATCGAAGAGCGATTTTGAGGTGGGAAAAGAAGAGTTGGCGAATGGCGGGGTGAGGTTGAAAATGAGACTTCCAAAGGCAGAAGTTGAGAAGTTGATGCAAAGTAGTAAGGATGAAGGTGAGGCTGCTGAGAAGATTATGAGTCTTTGTATGGCTAGTGGTAGCAATGATAAGAAACAAAAGAAGAAAATGGTTTGGAAAGGTAGTAGAGGTGCTGGTGAATTCACAAAGGCTTATGAGGTATGATATAGCTAGAAGAAACAATGTTTTTATATTTTTTATCATTTTGAGAAAAGAAAAGTTTTTATCAACAAAAGATGTTTTTCATTTAGGGTAAGACTAAACATGTTTTCATGTTATTTTTTGGATAATGAAGTAGTTGGAAGCATATAGTGTGCTTAAGTTAAGTTAATGTTGAATCATTTGATTAACATATGAATTTGGTTTTTGGTTGGAATGACTTTTTACTTATTTCATAATCAAAGTTTGAACTATTAGAGTTCTTCTACTTAAAAACAAGAGGTTAAGACAAAAAAATAATAATAACATAGTAAGTAAGCAAGAGACTATTATGGACTTTAGGGTAAATATTATAGCAAAAACTTTGCTTTTATTGAATAAAATTGTAAGCACTTACATACACACAACCGTACGATTTCGAATTCGATTAAGAAAATATTTTTTCAATAATATTGACATTTATCAGTTGAATTAAATTGGAATTTATCTAATTTATTAGATCGACAAAGGTCGACAACTAATTATTCTAATATAATTTATGATATATTGATCATAAAATTTTAGTTATCAACTATTTTTCTCATCAAGAATCTTACATTTGGAAAGGGGGGAGAGAATATTGTGTTTAGGATGTTTGTAATAAATACTAAGACATTATTTATGATGCCAAAGGATATTTACTATTATTTATAAAATAAAGTAGGTGCGAAAAGATTACTATTATACATATGCTCAATCATGCATACATTATCTATACAATTTGTAGGTATTAAATCAAATCAACATGATTATAATAGTTTCCATGCACCTACTAAGTTGTTTATTTTTTGGATTGTTATAACACTTGCAGAAAAGGGTGAGTTTTATGCCAATTAATGAAGGAAGTTGTTCCATCGCAGTGGCTTCCTAACCTTGATGCTGCCAAACTTGGAACTCTCAGTGTTGCTGTTAGGGCTAGTTATTGTCTCAGCAAAATGAATGAAATTTCTGATGCTTTTTTTCATGCTTAGTTTAATGTTGAATCGCGTGTACTTGGCTACAATAATAAAAACATCGGTGTTTGCAAGTTTGCACAACTACCAACTGAACTGACAATCGAGAACATCTGAGCATCTAAAATGCATTAGAATAAATAAAATCTTACCATACATATACAGGATAGGATAAAATCTAACTCGTCTTGTCTTTACTATGATTCGACTCTTGTTCAATTTTTACATTGAACTGTTCAAATTCTAAAAGTTTTGCTTATTATTCTACCATGTTAGCTGGTGGAATGGCGCGACTTCTAGCCACCATCTAGCCGATTGATGGCGAAAAAATTATTTTTTCTAAAATTTTCAAGCTTTCATGTTAACAAACCAGCAAGGAAGATACAAGAAAATATCATAATCAAGCTCTTCCGGTGCGCCTTCCAACTTTAAGCGCCAAGTCAGTGTCGATTTTGAGAGAGATGTCAAGTGCTTTTACTGAATGAGTCAAGGAACCACTGCAGAAAGGCCAAGTCAGATCAATGATATTTTGAGGAAATAGTACCAAACGCGATTCATTAACTCAAATGTAATTCAATTGATCAAAAGCAAAAAGTTGAAAAATTCATAGAACGATAAGAGAATTACATACCTATACTTGTTCTAGTTACAAAATTGAGAGACACTTATGGAGCACCGGGTTTTAAGTGATACAGATATATACATAGTTTTAACTGTTAGACTATTGGATGGTATAAATAGATACTCTTCAGTTGTTAAAACTTAGTATACAGATGCACCGCTTAAAAACAGCGCATTGCAAGTGTCCCTTACAAAAGTTGTTCCTTTTGATCTTTCCACCCCTCGAATGACCCAATAGCAGAATAGGTTCTGATACCATCTTATAATTTGGGTTAAATCTAATTCAACCTTACAAAACCAGTTTCTAAGATGACTACCCCGACTTATTAACATTTATACCGGTCATCTCAGATCCAATGTGGAGCTCTTAACATTCCAAAAACAACATCACGGCAAATGAGGTCACTTGCCTTTGATGCATTAGACTCAATTTTATTTCCACAGCGACAAAAATAACGTCCACGCAATAAATTCAACAATACGTGTGAAAATTGAAGAAAATATTATTACGTTTTATGATACTAGATGTTATTAGGTCTAGTGAAAGAAAATGTTTACCTAGAAATGTAGGTTACTCCACTTTGCCCGATTTTATGTACTGTATCTATGGTAACGTTGCCGGAAGCCTAGCATCACAAACACGACAACAGAAATCAATTAAGAACTTTAAGAGGAACCTTGTACTAAAGTCATATTCAACCGAATTATCCTGATAATACGATACAGGCTAAACGAAACAAAACTAGTCATGAATACCTCAGTTTCAAATCGCCCATCAACCAACCGAACAGCTTCTTTCAGCATAGATATGTCCACATCTCCGTTAGGTAAAGGTACAACCATATTATCCAACATGATTCGAGTTAAAGAAGTCTTTGTTTGAGATGCATATTGTAATACTTCTTCCACTTCCTCAAGTGTCCTGGTCTCAACCTGAGAAAAACACAACCTTAAATATTATAGCTGTTGCCAGAACCAGCTCTTTACATACATGGACAGCTATACAGTGAAAACCAAATCCACACATGCATTTAACTTCATACCAATCACTTCAAGATAAAAAGAATGAAAGAGAGTACTACCTCAACCTCCAATTGAAGGCTATTTTGCTTTAGATACAGGTCTACGGCTTTGAGAGCATTTGTAACACTGCCAGCAGTTGATATATGATTATCTTTTATCATAACCATGTCAAACAAACCCATCCTATGATTTCGACCTCCGCCAATTAATACCTATACAAGGAAATCTACTATAGTTTATTGAGTAAATTTTATAAGACAAAATACAAATAAATAGACATTCATAAAAGCAAGCAAATGGTTCAGAGTGCAGACCGCCCACTTATCCAATAAACGTAAACACGGAGCAGTTTTTCTAGTCTCCAATATATATGCAGGGGACGCTGCATTTGCCATTGCCTGTGGAAAACCAAGATATAAGAAAGCAAATGATAAATATAAGATGACAATGATGACTTCACAAATCACTAGGCCTAATGAAATGTAACACAAGAATCTTATATGCAATCTGAATTCATTACAAACATAAACTTGTTTTCATATTTCAAACCATAATTTATCCATTATATTTTTTTTTTCAATATCCTTACAAGAACCCTTAAAAACATCATACTACAATGTTGGCTAGCTAAGTTTCAATAACACTGCAGGGAAATCATTTAGATAATTCTAGGAGTATTAGAGAAAATTTAGCATAACAAAAATACCTTGGTTAAAGTTGCAATGCCACTCATCCTCTGCATAAAGTTTAGCACTACCCTTTCCGCTACAACAATGTTATGTGCCCGTCCTACATGTGAATAACTAAAGATTGATAGAAGCTTTCATAAAACCAATTACATACTCAGAATGTATCTATTTGCTTTCGTAACTAAGTGTGTTGATTTTTCAAAACAAAAACAAATGATTTTGTTGAAACATTGTATAACTACATAACTTGTTTATTCCAATGAGAAATATGCTCTTTTTATACGAGAAAAAATGCATAAAGACACTCGATAAATTAAGCAGTGAATTAAGGAATTGAAATAAATAAACGTAAACTCAAATAGTATCAAAGCTAATAAAGATAAAATATTTCAACGGTTTTCATGATAATTATCTTACCATGAACTTTTCCAAACTGCAGTCCTTTATGGACAAAGTCTCCATCATTTTTAGACCACTCCACCTGATATATGAAAGTATTCCTCAATGATTCATCCAAAAACTAACCACAAACATAACGATAGGGCAAATGATCATTGCTTCGTACCTTTAGAGAAGGATTGACCTCATTAAATATCATCTCTGCAAGTGCAATTCCAGCAATGACACCATCCTCCTTCGCCAAGAAATAAGCTTCCACTTCCATGTCAAATGGAATGGTGGCCAAGCATGTTACATCACCTACAATTGAAACATTTTTTATATTCAATGCCATGCATACAATATAACTGCCAAATATCAGAAGAAAAATGTACATTTCTTAAAATTAACTAAGAAAGAAACACGACAATTATAGCAAGAAACTAGAAGAAAGTTTGGAAATAAACCTCGATCCCCGGCATCTTCTGCAAGGGCCAACTTGATAATGCCCTTCAAATCATAAGTAGGGTGTAGAGGAGGCTTTACTGTGAAGGAATCGTATGCAATCGTCGGATTTGTGACTTCAGTTGCCGACATTTTAACAACACTCCTACAGTCTCACAAAATTTAGAACAAGTTAATCTAGAAACACACAACATCAATCTTGTGAAACAAGGAAATATTGTCATCTTTGATCCACAAAATAGATTAATAGGCATTGATAGGTTTTGTTCCAGGCCAACCACATGCCCAAGGACAGTCAGTCTAAGAAAGTGCGTGCCAAGGCACTGAGGACTCAAGGTGCTCACAACCAAGGGACCTGCACCATGGTTGTCAAGATCTCGATCAAGATCTTAAAATCTTATGATTTTATGATCTCATTCACCTCCAATGATCCCGATCTAGAATCGCGTGTTGTAGCCAAATTGTGAAAAAAAGTTGTAAAACCATTGATTTTGAGCGATCATGGCCAATTCCAGCCACAATCAGTCGTTTTCTGGCCACACTTGCCATTTTCCGGCCACCACCATCACAAGCAAAGAAGGTTGACAAGATGCCGAGGTGCAACGATTACGGTTCAGCGGAGACCATTTTCCCGCGAATACACTTGCCTACCAAAATACCATGCAAAAAAACTTCAAATGTATAGCATAACTTTTTCGTTTTAGGAATATCTTACTATTTTTGTTAGGATCTTATGTTTTACAATCTTGCTACCCCTCTCGATCTTAGAAAAATAATTGGGTAGGATCTTCCGATCTTAGTTAGGATCTTATGTTTTAAAATTTTACTATACCCTCCCGATCTTAACAACCTTGTCTACACCCGATTCTCGCCCTCGGGGGGATCGTCCACAGTCAGATATAATCAAACGGCCCCTGGCATGAGGCGCCGGATTCCACGGGAATGGCTCTAGCCGCTCATACTATATAGAGTCCAGCATATGTCATTTCATTTATTCACTAACTTAACTGAAGTGCTAACTTTTCAGGTCCACCATGTCGGAAGTTTATTCCACAGCATTAACACTCAAGATAATTCAGAAGCAGTTGAAGGATTCAAACCTGAGTTTTGGTTGCCCTTTGAGTTTAAGCGAAAACCTGAAAAATTAATAATTGAGTTTTATTTATTTTTTAAATAAATTAGTTAAAAAGTGGCACTGTTATATAGCTCTAGTAATTAATTAATAAGGATAAGAAATAAAAATAAATGAAGAGCAGAGAATATAAAAAAGTGAGGAGAGAGTAAGAACCTGAGTGAAGAAGGAGAATTTGTATTTGGGTTTGTGGCGGTGTGAAATGGTTGTGGTAAGAACCCTAGTTTACAGGTAAGAGCCATAACCAAAGAGAGATTCAATTTCAGAGTTTTCGGTTTTTCTGTTTAAATTGGTGGTTTCAATTTCAAGTTTGAGGAAATGGGGTTCCTGTGCCATCACCGTTACTTTTCACTTTTCGAGCACTCTCTAATCTCTCATTTGATTCTGATTCTAAAAGGAGATATGATATTATTTGTGTAATGTGCCAGTTGAATTATTTGATTTTGATTCTAAAATAGATATTATCTGTGTGATTCTAAAAATAGATATTATTTGTGTGATGTGGCAGTTGAATCAGTTAAATTATGATTTGGTGTGACATATAAGAAGCATAATTCATATTACATGTCACAAGGATGCCCAATTGTAATTGTGCTTGTTGTCAAAGGTTAATAAATCTTTTGTCTTTTGTCCATTTGAGGAATTCGAAAAAATATTTTTAAAAAATATAAATTATGCCTTTGTCCTAGGAGGATTTTTTTATTTTGTCCTCTTAATAGATTTCATCAATAGAATTTGTGATGTGACACTATTTTGTTAGTTTTATTTTATTTTTTCATTTTTTTTAATGTGACGTAGCTTCCTATTGAATTTTTATATATATTTTTTCTTTTATTTTAATTAGATGTGTTGCTTTTTTAGCAGCCTAGTGGAAGAGGGCGCTTCTTGCATATAACTTAGAGGTTGTGTCACATTAAAAAATATAAAAAAAAATTTAAAAAAGTCATCAAAGCAATGTCACGTCTGTTCGAGTCGTAGTTAAGAGAGTTTTCGTTATCGTCTCCACAAGGATTGTTCGATATCTTGATACTTTCCTTTCAATAGTTTACAGTTTTAAGAAAAAGGGTTTCAAATTTTGGTTCATAAATTGTCAGGATTTTTAGTAGCAAAACAGATAAATTCTAAAGTGTTTGAATACAAAGATATATCAAAAATAGTTTTCATCTACCCTAAATTATACATATTCTTTCAATCTTGCATGTGAAGGCAGAACTGATTAATATCATCGTGTATTCTCTCAACACTGTCTATCTCTATAGCGGCGTCGTGAAAAATATTGTATTCATCGCTACACGATCTCTCCATATAACAACCAATATAGTAAGCTTTAAGTTTAATACAAAGTGAATATCAATCATAGACTGATCTCTCCAATCTATAAATCGATAGATGAATATTTTAGGTCAAGTTCCATAAAATCTATGTCTAGAGTTTTACAAAACAAAAATGGATCATAAGAACAAAAATATGCATCATATATTAATCATCATTTGTTCACATACAAGGCTAATCAAAAGAAATACATAAAGCTAAGATAGACTACCTCTACGTTTGATACAAAAGAAATTAACTACTTATAACCATGGTAGCTTGCTTTACAAGTAAAGAGAGAAGATGAATGAGCATCCACGTCGAAAAATCAAACTCGGATGCGAATCCAACTTCTATTTTGCAAAACTCCTTTTTTGGTGAAGAAATGCTAAAAATATAAGTCTCTATGTGAAAAATGGGTTTATGATCCCAAAAAGTGTGAAAAAGTACTTATATAGTACAACTAGAATCTATCAAGTTTGCCTAGCGAACTCATTCTTCGCCCGACAAACTCCACTTTATGGCACCTGAAGTGCCTCTGAATAGTTAAATCGCACATGAGGAAATTTGAATTCGTCTAGCGAACTACTTCGCTACAAGTTTGCAAGGCGAACTTATGACCCTTTAGTTACTGCCTCAAAACTAGGGTGGTTTGCTGGTCCTTCACTGCAGCATCGCCTAGCAAACATTCACTTCAAGTTCGCCCAATGAACTTAGTGCTCTTTTCTTTCTGCCTCTAAATTGAGAGGATTCAATGACACTTCGTCCAGCGAACATTCACTGCTGAACCTCGCTGGTTGTTCGCCCAGCGAACATGCTAAAACATCACATTTTCTTTAGCTTCCTTGCCAAATTACTTGTGTCTTACTTCTTTGATAGATTATGCCTAAATCCTGTATAATAACACACAAATTAAAGCAACCAAAGGTATTTGCACATAATTGAAGAATAGCATAAAAACATGGAATAAATCCAATCAAAACATAACAAATAAGATGAAAAATGTCAAATATAATGGATCAAGTTTAAGCATGTTTGGAATTCAAAAAACTCCCCCCAACTAGATTTTTGCTTGTCCTCAAGCAAATTATGCCTCTCATTGAAAACAAGAGGATTTGTCCGAGCATTTAATTCAACCAAGAATAGATTTATGGCTCAAATTAAACAACAAATGCGCACAAGCAATGTTCACCACTTCCTAGAATCGAACAATAAAAAAGAATTTAGTTCTTAAACAAATATCATGCAATGCTTCAAATAGCAACAAATTTTCATGCTTGAATCACTCTAACACTCCTCTTCGAATAAGAATAAAAAAATGTTTATCACGATAATGAATTTTGGTGAGAAATGAATTATGGTGAGAATTGCGGAATATGTGTATTCTATACTTGTATATATATGATTATATGCATTGATTATTATGATAATATTTCTCACCCTTCTGTTGTTTTATAATGCTCTATGAGGCATTGCAGATTAGGTTTGCTGGAGGTCTTTTGTGAAGTATAGCTTCATTCTTTTGGTCGGTTAGCTCTGATATGTAGCACCGGGTAGTTAGGATTGTATAGAATTCTTTTGTGATACATTTGTATATGTATCTGCTGACAAATGTTTATGTAAAGATGAATGGTGTGGTGAATCAGACTAGATGATATGTATTTATATGATTACATGTTTAAAATGATGCAATGTTTAGATTTTCCGCTTTTAATTCTAAATATTGAGATGTGGGTGTAAGGACTAAGTTCCTCTGTTGAAGCTACCCCACTGTTGCATGTCTTTTATAGAGTAAGTGTTGTATGTTTCAATTTTGTGTGTGATGTTACATACCTCTTTTATACCATGTTTTAATTATACTCTGATGAAATTTTAATATGTGCTTAAATGATTTCTTGTTTATTTGAGGGTATAGAAGGGGGTGTTACATTAGTGGTATTAGAGCAGGTCGGTCAGTTGACCAAGTTGTTAAAGTGTTCATTCCCTTATACATTTGGTATGTGTGTAGCACTATCAATATGGTTGTTCTAACGAGAATTTGTTGTGGAAATCAAGAACAATGGTTGCAGGCAGGAATGATGAAGCGATTGGACAGAATCCACAAGCCAATGTGAATGATGGAAACAACGCTGACGATGAGTTTCGTGCTTTGGGAAGGTTTCAAAGGAACAATCCGCCAATTTTCAAGGGAACCCATGAACCTGAAAAAGCACAAGTATGGCTGAAAGCAATTGAGAAGATCTTTCGAGTTATGAACTGTTTAGATGCGCAGAGGGTGCAGTTTGACACTCATATGCTTGAAGAGGAAGCTGATGACTGGTAGGGTAATACTCGCCAAAGGTTTGAAGAGGATGAGATTGTGGTTACTTGGGATGTTTTTAGAGAGGCATTTCTAGAGAAGTATTTTTCAGAAGATGTGTGTGGAAAGAAGGAAATTGAATTCCTTGAGCTGAAGCAGGGTAACTCAACTGTAGCCGAGTATGCGGCAAGGTTTGAGGAATTGATTAAGTTTTGTCCTCGTTACAACATTGTTAATGCTGAGATATCCAAGTGTCTTAAGTTTGTGAATGGTTTGAGACCTGAAATCAAGCAAGTCGTTGGTTGTCAGGAAATTAGGCGATTTTCTGAGTTGGTGAACAAAAGTAGAATTTATGATGAAGATAGTAGGGCTCGGTCTAGTCACTACAAGAGTTTAAATGATAAGAAGGGAAAAGGTCAATTTAGAGGGAAGTTGTATGTGACTCCTGCTGATAAGGGAAAACAGAAAGCTGGTTACAGCAAGAAGCCGAGTGGGGGAGGAGCTCCCACTCCAGTGAAGTGCTTTAAATGTGGTGTTGAAGGACATTATGCTCCTGAGTGCACGAGTGTTGAGCAGAAGTGTTTCAAGTGTGGCAAACCAGGTCACAAGGCTTTCAAGTGCAGAAGCGGTGCAAATGTGACTTGCTACAACTGTGGTGAGCAAGGACACATTAGTACCAAGTGTGACAAGCCAAAGAAGACTCAAGGGAATGGGAAAGTGTTTGCTATATCAGGATTGGAGACTTCTAGTGAAGATCGGTTGATCCGAGGTACGTGTTTCATTAATGGTATACCTTTGATCGCTATAATTGATACTGGAGCTACACATTATTTTATTTCTTTGGATTGTGTTAAGAGATTAAATCTTGAGTTGTCTGTTATGAGTAGTGGTATGGTTATTGATACTCCTGCTATGGGTTCGGTAACTACCCCGTATGTGTGTTTGAATTGTCCGTTGAGTATTTTTGGTAAAGACTTTGAAGTTGATTTAGTGTGTCTTCACTTAGATCAACTTGATGTTATTCTTGGGATGAATTGGTTGGAATTCAATCGTGTTTATATTAACTGTCTTGACAAAATGGTTATTTTTCCTGAACCTGATGATGAAGGAGATTTGTTTATGACTGCTAAGCAAGTGAAGGAATCAATGCAAGATGGTGCGAAGGTATTTATGTTGATGGCAACTTTGAGCATTGGGGAACGCGGAGCAATTGATGCTTTACCAATTGCCTGTGATTTTTCGGAAGTTTTTCCTGAGGAGATAATAGATTTACCGCCGGAACGAGAAGTGGAGTTCACGATCGACTTAATTCCTGGAACTAGTACGACATCGATGGCCCCATATCGTATGTCCACGTCAGAATTGAAAGAGTTGAAGAGTCAACTTGAGGACCTACTTGAGAAGAGGTTTATTCGTCTGAGTGTGTCACCATGGGGTGCACCAGTGTTGTTAGTTAAGAAGAAAGAAGGTTCTATGAGACTCTGTGTGGACTACAGACAATTGAACAAGGTGACTATCAAGAATAAGTATCCACTTCCGAGGATTGATGATTTGATAGATCAGTTGGTTGGTGCGAGTATGTTCCGTAAGATAGATTTGAGATCTGGGTATCATCAGATTCGTGTGAAGGCC